CAATTATACAATACAAAGCAGAATTATACAATACAAAGCTGGCTGGGGAATTCTGGGAGCTGAAGTCCACCCATCTTAAAGTTGCCAAGGTTGAGAAATACTGACTTAGACAGAATTATACAATACAATTATACAATACAAAGCAGAATTATACAATACAAAGCTGGCTGGGGAATTCTGGGAGCTGAAGTCCACCCATCTTAAAGTTGCCAAGGTTGAGAAATACTGACTTAGACAGAATTATACAATACAATTATACAATACAAAGCAGAATTATACAATACAAAGCTGGCTGGGGAATTCTGGGAGCTGAAGTCCACCCATCTTAAAGTTGCCAAGGTTGAGAAATACTGACTTAGACAGAATTATACAATAATACTGTTCTGGCTTACATACCAATTCGACTTAAGGACAGACCTTGGGAACAGGCCTTCTGTCTTCAGCCTTAGATTGTTCATTCTCTTGGACTCTCCTTCCCCTTTTTTTAGAAATGCTTTTAAACTGATGTTTTATGTATTTATATAAATTAATGTTTTTAAGGTTCGGGGTGAGTGGCCCAGGGTTCCCCAGTGGGGGGGAGATGGGCGGGTGAGAAATTTAATAAATAATAATAACTCGTTCTTAAACTGGGGACCCCCTGTATACGTGTGTTTGTTAGCATCGTTGATGCTTCTTAAGTAGATGTTTCTAGAGTAAAAATGTGTCACTGCAAACCCACCTTAACCTGGAACCAAGCGTCTTGGGTACAGTAGCGAATATCGCAAGCCGAAATGAGATCCATGCCTGCAAAGGGACAAGATCAAGAGTCTAGTTCATGCTTGTTTAATGGGTTTTATACCCTCTTATCCCACCTTTCTTCCAGTAGAGCAACCTCGACAGAAGGAGGGGCCAGACTCCTATCTCAGCCTACACGACCCAGCTTCAAGCAAGATCCTACATTACTTGTCCTCTGGCCACCCCGAGGGAGTCAGGGGTTACGACAGCCCCTATTTGTGATTCGTGGAAAAAGACTCAACACCCCATAGTGCTGCAACATCCAGTGGGACTGGCCTTTTTAAATAGCTAAGATCGATGGCTAGGCAGGGGATGTCTAAGAGATAGGGCTCCCTTCTTCCACTGGCAGAAAAAAATGCCTCCCCAAAGGCATTGGCGCGTCAGCCAGGAAGACAGCGTCCTCTTCTGGCCAGAACTCCCTGTGTTTACTCAGAGAGTAAATGACAGCAGAACCCGATCCGGCCAGAAATCCCACAGCATTCCCAGAGTTTGCCTGTGCTTCTCGGTAAAGAGATAAAGAGATGCAGCTGTGTGAATTCAGTAATGCAGTTATAGGATCAGCTGAATCAGGTGAAAGACTGTATTCTTATGCAAAGCAAGATCATACTGTTTAGCTTCTGCAATTCCAAAGTTGCAGAATTTGGAGTTTTGCAGTTTCCAGAGCTGACTCATGCAATTGTCAGGGCTGAAAAATTCAGTTTGCTTGAAGGATGGATGCCTGTGAGATCCTTGGGATCAGTTTATGAGGCAAAATGAGTGCCTCAAACCCTGCAGAGGCTTACACTGTCCCTTTCCGCCCTTAAGCATCTGAATCCCTCCCAAGCCAGCTCCTGGCCCCACCCTCTTTGGGAGGGCAACCCTCGACACGCTGCCAACTGGCAGAAGCTGTCCATTTCTGTCCTGAATCACCACTGTAGGCCAATTCTTGGAGAAATCACCAACCAAACCAAGAGACCTCTGACCTCCTCCACTACGTAATTTATTTATATCATTTCTACACAATCACACCATGCATACTAGGAAGAAAAGAAGCAGGCCAGTCCAGCAATGTATTCTGCCATAATTCCAACTAAATCAGCACATTTTTGTTTCTCACCGTTCTGACATGGGAAATGCATGTCAAGGTCTTCAGAACAGATTCTGTACCTAAAACAACTAACCGTCCGCCCTTAAAAGCCAGGGGAAAACAAACAAGGAATGATATATTCCCTCCTAGCTTTGTGAACCAAAGTCCTTGACCCCTCACCTCCAAACTATTAATGCAGGTGTGTTTGGAGAGGGGTTAAAAACGTCAAGATGGTGGCCACGATCATACCATTAAACTCCCCTCATCTTTTACATGCGCTGCACACAGCATGGCCACTCATCTTGTCTTTTTTGAACCTCATCTGCATGGACACCTTTGAGTGACCTCAGCCATGCAAAGGTTACCCGCTAAACAACTTGATATCTTTAATCCTGCAAGAGATATCATTTGCTAATGTTCATTCTCTCCTCTTATTTATACATCCACAATGCCATCCTTTAACTTGAAATCCACAATGGTGGGCCGAGCACTTACGTCAACAAAAAATCAGCCAAGGGTGCCGATTATTAATAGAACCAATTCCAGGAACTGGTGGGACATCAAGTTACAGCATTGTTTCTCAACCATGGCAACTTTAAGCTGGGTGGACTTCAACTCTCAGAATTCTGGGAGTTGAAGTCCACCCAGCTTAAAGTTGCCATGGTTGAGAAACACTGAGTTACAGGTTCAGCCACGCGTGAGTTACGGAGCTCACCTCCTCCAATGCAGGCCCCGTGAACGGCAGCAATGATGGGCTTGGGACACTGAAAAGCAGAGACGCCGTTAGTTGTGGACGGAAGTGATTTGTTGGCACAGCTGCCCAACTACAGTCCCTCAGCCCATGCACCTTCTCTAGGACTGTGAACGACTCCTGATAGTCTCGGATCTTCTTACGGATGTTCCAAGCCTTCCGGGCCACGTCGTCACCTTCTGCCATCACGAACACACTGCCCATCTCCATGAGGTCGATGCCTGTAGAAGGGCAGGGATGAAGAACCACAGGAGTGGCTGTGGCCCTCCAGGCTCAACCCGCCCATTCATTCTAAGCCATGCTATGCCTGGCTCCTCTCAGCTGACTAAGCCACAACGGGCTACTTTATTTAATTGTGCTACTTTAGTTAAATGCATTCTTTAATTCCTGAAAAGAAGGAGGCCAAACATGAGGCCTGGAGACCATCTGGCCCTGGAGTTCTCTCCAAAGCTGGTGGGACCAAAATTTTGGATCCCACTTTGCTACTTGATGGACTCAGCAGCCTGAGCAAAATTACAACCTTGTCTTGCAGGTGTTAAAAAGTACCCATGTTTCTCCTTAAAACCCTGCTCCGGAAGCTTTGGAAGGGGGCCGTGCAAACCTGCCCTAAACATGGTTTAGAGTATAAACTGCAAGGGCTGGCTTCTCCAACTTGCAAAACTAAGCCAAAAGGAACTTAGCACGACTTCCAGCATGCCATGTGAAAGACCTCTGAATTCTGACAGTGCTGAAAGTTTGATATGGAATCCTATCTAGGAAAAAGATTCCAAGAGATCCGGGTCTACACCAGCCGGCCCCTTGCTAGATTTTCCTGATCTAGAGAGGAGAAGGACTCCCAGCGGCTACAATGTCTCTTCTCCCTACCTGAAGTGAACACTTTCCCAGCACCCGATAGCACCACTGCGTGGCATTCCGAGTCCTGGGCGATCTTGTTGAAGCACTCAACCATCTCTCTATAACAAGACAAGACCGTATCAGACTGAGATGCTCGGAGACCTGAGTTGGCAGGCAGCTAGCTTAGATTTTTCACAAACACCCCTGAAACAGTGTAATGACGGAAGGCGTTTTCCTGTGACCCACTGAAGGCACACGACCAATGGGGCAAGGCCGCCCTCCCTGAATCTGCCCTGGTTCAGCCTCATGAACAAAGGAGAATCCCATTTTTAGTTCGGCTACTTCCGAACGTGTGGACGAGCACGCGTTCGAAGCGAAGCCAAACCTCCCTAAATTCTCCCACCCTGCAGCCCAGGCCCCCTTCTGTCCCTGTGACTCCCACCCCGGGTGCAAATGAAGCATGGCTTCGTGCTACCTCCAAAAGGCGACATTCATGGCATTCCTTTTCTCAGGACGGTTCAGCTCCACATGGAGCACCTTCTCGCGCGCCCGTTCCAACTTCAAGGTCTCATAACTGGGCAAGGAATTCAGCTGCTGCTGTGGCTGCTGCTGCTGCTGCAGCTTTGATGTCATGATCCTGAGGCCGCGGCAGGAAGCAGGACGAACTGAGAGATCTGGGAGGAGAAGTGGAGTATTAGCAGCAGCGGGCAAAGCTCTGCCCTGACTGGAAGTCCTTGAGCTGGGCTCAGCCGTAAAGTCCGTGCATGCAGGCAGAAAGGTGAGGTTGGGCAGAGCTTTGGGTGCCCTCAATTAAGCAGGGTCACCTAGCGGGACCTCGGGAAAGGCCTCCCCCCAGAGATCAGGAGGGCTCCGACCCTGTGAGGATCAAGAAGCTACTGAAGACTTGGTTCTCCTCCCAGGCTTTGGGCAAGATGATGGTTGAGCTTCGGTTGTGTAGATGTTTAATTTATATATTTGTCCTTGGGATGTTCATGACTTCTTTTTTATTGTTGTATTATTTGCCGCCTGGGATCATTAGGAGTTGGGCAACCTCTACAGCAGTGTTTCTCAACCTTGGCAACTTTAAGATAGGTGGACTTCAACTCCCAGAATTCCCC